AGTTAATAAAAGCCTATCATAGATATGAAGTTTCTTTGGACCAGAGGAAATTAAATTATATTCTTATCACTATGTCTCATAAAAAGAAATCTGAAAAGCATGCTAGTGTACATGAATATATTTTAGAAGGCTCAATACTTTATCACATATATTGTTAAGGCTGAAACATGGAAGTTAAAATGGTACATAAATATGAAGTGTACATATTTAAATCACTAGAGGATGATAATAACTAACTTTTGGGTAATGCATTTTTTGAAAAAATTCATTTGAGTCTAAATATAAGAAAAGATGAAAGATGTTTTACTAAGCTGAGAAAGTAATCAAAAAATGTTTCAGTATAAGGACCAGATATTAAAATGTTAATATAATAGCTTATCAAAATAGAATAGCTCTTCCAATAAGAAGTAAAAAATTAAAAATATATAAAAATCAGGCATAAGCAAACAGAAATGCATATGTACACAGGTCAAGTGAATTATAAGAACTTACAAAAAATCTCCAATATAAACCATAATCTGAGATTCTATATCAAAATAAGTAATGACATTTTCTACTTATTTTGAAGGTATAATCTATATTTAAATTTTGACTTATTTCCATTATCAACCTGTACTCATTTATACTTTTTACAATGTTTCTGGATTAAAGTAACATATTGCTTTTAATGAAAAATTCATTACTTCTGCTAGGCAAATGATGTAATTGAGAGTTGTTGGAATTCTGTAAAATCTTCAACTTGTTATGTAATCATCCCTCACTATCTGTGGTGATGGATTCTGGGACCAGTGCAGATACCACAAGCCATGGTTGCCCATGTCTGTAAAATGACATAATATTTGCAAATTACCATTTGCATTTTCTAGTATACTCCAAATTATATCTAGATTATTTAAAATATCTAATAAGATGTAAATAGTATGCAAACAGTTGTATGCTGTATTGTTTAGAAAATATTGAGAAAAAATAAATGTGTTTATGTCCAGTACAGATACAAATATTTTACACATAACAGCATGGTTGTTTCAGTCCATGGATAGAGTGCCCCACAGAAATGGAAAATCAACTGCATATGTGTATTTCTAAAATGCAAAGGGGAAATGGCAACTTTATTTTTTAATAAATAAAAGAAACAACATGAGGCTGCATTGTTGATTGTTTGGAACTTGCATACTTAAACAGTGTTTATTGCATTTGATCCTATCTTGAAACGGAAATCTTTTTAGCACTAACAATGTTAAGGTGATGGAATTACTTTACTGTCATAAAATTACCAAATGGAAATTGGAAACAAAAGAAATTGCCTGTTTCAGGGTTGTAGGAAATTAACAACAAAAATAAAGTGTTTACAATCTTCATATCCTCAAGAAAAGAGAAGTACAAATAAAATTATGAGAACACTTTCCAAAAATAATATCACTTTGTATTAATGAATGTTATTGAAGATAACATAATATTACATGAAAATTGGTTTTAACATATTTTTAGTTTGATTGTTATATGGAGAAGTTTAGTTTAGGTACTAGGTAATTTAAACAAATCATTCTAATGAGCCCAGAGAGAAAAATTTATCAAAATATTTTTAATAGTATTTTTAGGTTCCAGAGAGCTCTTGAGTCTTTGAAGAATTGGGATTTCAAACCTTTGAAAAAGTGCTCTGGAGAAAACCAATTGAACCTGGGATATGAAGCCTGATAAGAGCATGAAAAATGAATAAACAGATCTTTTGACCATGCCCAGGAATGTAAATAATAATATTAATTTTAAAAACCTGTTGCCCATTATCTCTCAGGGATGAAGATACCTAATAAGTACTGTATTCACAGGTACTATAGCTCAGCCTGAAATAATTTCAATCATTGATTAGATCAAGATGACCTGGACCCAACAGTGCAATTAGTCCATCCAGAGTATGATAAATTATCTTTGAAAGAAGATAACATCACCCTCAGACTGAGTTAGCTTTCAAAGTTTTTCACATAATATTTTTGTACTTGTCAAAAGTATGTGGGTATACCATGACTGGGGATATTTTGACCCAAATTAAGGGAAATAGCAGACATTTGAAATAAATGCATTGAAGATTCACATGACAAGAATAACAGAGAGAGAGGGTTAAAAAGCCTATTGTTTATGTGTTCAAACACATGGTTGAGAATTCCAGATACCTGAAAACTTATAAAGACAGTATCCTTAAGTTAATCATTTTCAAACTGAAAACTTTTTGCACAGTGAAAATTCTTGTTAGAAGATAAAAAAGAAAAGTTAAAGATGAAGAGAAATTATTTGCAAATCACACATTAAACAAAGGACTTTTTTTAGAATATATAAAGAACTCTCAAAACTCACTATTATCACAGATAATTAAAAAATTATGTGCATAGAGAAATGTACACAGATGTTCATAGCAGCATAATTTATAGTAGCAGATTACTGAAAATCATGCAACTGGATTTCAGAAGGTGAATATTCAAATAAACTACATTTCCATTGTATAGCCAAATACTATTCATCAATAAAAAAGAAAAAAGTATTGACACATATAATAACTAATATAAAGGAACAGTACTTAGGGAAAAATCAATGTCACTCCCCCAAAAAACTGTTTATTATATCATTCTTCACAAGACAAAAATATTGAGATGATTGCCCCACGATAGAGAAAAGGGTATGTGAACATACAGGAGTAACATGATAGAGTTCCTTAGAGGAGATAAAATAATTCTGAAGTTGATCTTGGATGTAGAGGCATGAATTTAGGCAGGGAATAAATTGTCTATAGACATACACATTAATGTAAAAAATGTTGAAAACTAAGATCTTAATTTAATAGTACTTAGTAATGATGAATATGATATTTTCATATTAAGATTTTATCCTCAATCTTTTATTGAGGTAGAAAGTTTTTCAATAATATGTAGCACACTTACTTTGTGCAAAACATTAAAATCTAAATTTTTACTTTGCTAAATTAAATTATTTCAAAAAAAACCCACAAAATGCTTAGGAGCACATTTTAATGTTTTATAAATGCATATGAATGTTGTATGTTGTAAGCCATTGCTTTTTTTGTATAATTTAGTTGATATAAAGTGGGTGTGATTGCAATGTAATGTGTATATTTTTAGCATTTAATAGGACTGGCTCAGTTGGTGAAAAATGATTTGTGAACCAGAGGACTGATTTAAAAATATCTAGCCTATTTCCAGAGTTCTCTTTGTCATTTAGATTACTTTCTCCTCAAATAAGATATAATTTTCTAGTACAGTTGTCATAGAATTCTACTTTAGTGCTTTTACTATGCAGAGCTTATCCAAATGTTGCAGCTGGAAATTTTTAATGAACTCATGGTTAATGCTGCTCACCCTGACACAATTTCTGTAAACAGAATTCCCTTTTCATCATAAATGTGGGAAAAGAATCCTCGAATATTTTAAATTCAGTAGATTAAATCATCCTGTCCAGAATCCCTTTAAACATGGGTATGGAGGTGTCCCATTTAAGTTTTTAAAACTTTGTGTACACAATGCATGCATGAATAGTTTTTTACTTTTCCCAAACATTACAATATAACTTTCAAACATTTGAAACACTCTAAATTCAGTTTTTAGTACAACAAATTATCATTCAAAATCTTAACAGATTTTGTAAACTGTAACAACTATTTAACAACAATAACATCAGACCTTTAAAATAGAACTGAAAAAAACATAAATACAGAAAGAAAATACACCTCAAAAGCAAAGATTTTTAGAAAATTGACAGATGTGGTGATATTTTAATTAATAAATGTAAACTTGAATTTCTGTTTTAGAGAATTAAATAATAATGTGTAAATTAAGCTACATTTGTAATAATTTTTAAAATTGGTTCTTCAAAGGAAAAGCTCAAAGCACTATGAATGACAATGCTGATTTTTAATGTCATCAAAAGGAAAGCCAATTTGAAAGAAAAATATAAAAAATAGTGACATGGCGAACATGAAATGTAATTCGGAACAAAAAGGTCCAAATTTAAAGAGTACACATAAAAGAATGCCCTTTGTGAAAAAAATTAATTGAAAAAAAAAGTAGAATGCACTATTCTTTGTTCACCATTGTCAGATTAACATCACCTGCCTCTGTTACTAAAAATCTTATGGTATTTTCTCTTGCTGCTGAAACTTTTTCCTCAATTCATTCCATCACTTGAGAGAAGCTCAATGATTGTGAATGACCATTGAGTATTTTCACTTTTTTAGCACTTCATATTCTTTATTGTAGTCCTCATTCTTCTAATGCTATTGAAATCAATTGTGGCCATTTTGAGAGCTCCTATTGTCCCCAAACAGAGCCAAAAGAACCTTTCAAAAGCTGAAAGAAATCTTGCTTCTTAGTTCTCAGAGTTTCCTAAAAGTCTTCCCTCTGCTCTCCTTTTACTGTATATTCTATCCCTCCCCTTTCCATCGTCAAAAAAAGAAAAAAAAAAAGATTCTTTGATGCCCTTAGGCTCCCTAGAAGGGAAAAGTAAAGAGATACCTTTCACCTGACAAAGCAGAGTTCAGGAAGCACAGTTGATGCCCCAGGTCAGAAAGTGGATTGTTTGTGTGTGTGTGTGTGTGTGTGTGTGTAAACCCATATTTCCTTTATTAAACCATGGATTCCTTTCTCCCTCTCTTCCTTCCTTATTTTTTTTTCTTTTTCCAATGGATTGAGCAGAAGGGTACTCTTTTGACACGGGGTCTCCATAAATTCCAATGACAGGCCTCCAACTTGGAATCCTCCCAACTGAGCTACTGGAATTATGGGTGTATGCTGCAGCACCTGGCCATTAATTTCTGTTGCTCGCATTTTTCAATAGAACTTTGACTACTGATTATATTAAGAATGTAGAAATAAAAATACTATCCATCCAGCCCAATATTTGTTTCACTGTCAATTTATTTGATAGAAATAATCTGTCAATATGTGAATTAGAGCAAAATATGGGACATGTATATTGCATTTCAAGTTGACACTTACTGTGGTCCAGCTGACTTGCTGACCTAGGTCTGTAAAATACAGTGTTATAATAGAGGAAGCTGCAACACTTTGAATAGTGATGTCATCCCTCAAAAAAGGTCCACCTAAAATGAAAAGAACAAGAAAATACTATTTAAATACAATTTGAAAATAAAGACAAATATTTTCTTAATTTGAAACCAATGACTGCAAAGAAATTTGTATAGAAAGTAAAATGCATAATAATCTTTCAAACTGAAAATAATGAACAATACATTTTATAAAATAAATGTATAGCAACTTTTAAAAAATCTAGTATTAGAACCTAGTCAAATAAGATACAAGATTTTTTATACAGTTTAATTTTAGACATTAATAAACCTAAATCTCAACTACTCTCTAAATGATTTTTTATAAGGAAAATTAGATGCAGGTAGATGAATTCCAATGATCACTAAAAAGCATGAAAAGAGTGGCATGATTTATCTTTTTAAAGATCACTCTGGATCTGTGTGGAAAATGAGAAGGGGAACAAAGAAGATTATTAGAGAGTCACTGAAAACTGATCAAGCAACAGATGATGTTCATTTGGATTAAGGTGGTAACTGATGGAATTATTGATGAATTATTAATTCCTGATATATTTTGATCACAGATCATGTTAAACTTGCTGATGAAATGGTTGAGAGGAGAGGATTCAGTGAGATAAAACAGTTCTTATATTTTTGGTTGAGTACTTAAGTGTATTATTATCTCATTAACTTACACGAAGAAGACTGAGAACAGAGCAGGATTTGGGAGTGCAAATTGAGAGTTCTATAAGCATATGTTACATTTGTGATATTTGTTATTCAAGAAATAGTTGTCAAGTAACCAGCTCAATGGATATCTCAGAAGATACTTGAAAGTTATTAACATTTAAAGCCACAGAGTTTGACTGGATGGTTTAAAAATTTAGTTTGAGGGCTGGAGGTGTGGCTCAAGCGGTAATAACCCCCTCACCTGGCAAGCTCCAGGCACTGGGTTAGATCCTCAGCACCACATTAAAAATAAATAAATAAATAAAGATGTTGTGTCCACTGAAAACTGAAAAATAAATATTAAAAAAATTCTCTCTCTGTCTCTTCTCTCTCTTTAAAAAAAAAGACTTAAAAAAATTTAGTTTGAAAATAATAGAGTAAAAACAGACTGAACTGTTTTTACTCTATTTTTTTTTACTCTATTTTTTACTCTTTATTTTGTTTTTACTCTATTGTTTTTACTCCAGCTCTGCAGGTTTCAGACACAAAGAGAGGAAGATACCCTAAAAGTTACTGAGAAGGACACTCACAAAATAGGATAGAACCCATGTCTCAGAAGGAGTAAACATTCTATTCATAAAAATGAACACCAGACAAGTTTGAAATACATGTATGTAAATTTTTTAATTTAGTCTGAAATACATGTATGTACTTTTTTAAATTTAATTAAAGATATGTATGTAAATTTTTTAGCATTGTTTATAATAACAAAAATTGAAAAAAAGCTTAAATATTCATTAAAGAGATGAGATTAATGTATTTTTAATTCATAACAATGTATATTATGGGGGAAGAAAAATTAGTGGAGTCACATGTACTAAATGGATAAATCTTGTGGGTATAATGCTGATATAATTGCTATTATTTATATCATGCTTTATAGTGCAACTTGATTTGTAATATCCCTCTTATGAAAAGTTGTCATTCCATTTTCTTTTTTTGAAAGAATCAGAAAAATGTTAATTTGAGTTTACCATGAGGTGATTTTCAGAATTTCAAATGCTTATTTATATCCATAATCAGGGTAATTTAAAATAAATTAAAATATATAGTTCTTGTGTATTACACTTAAAGATGGTAATATGATACATCCAATTTTAGTAGCCAGAAAAATTATTTATTTTTATTTGTTCATTTCTATTTTTATATTTGTGAGAGTTATAAAATTTGTATTGATAATTTTGAACCCTGACAACTTGACATATGGAGAAAAATAATACTAGTCTCAAAAATGACAATCTATTTTGAAATGATAGAGTTTTTACTTGAAAATATAGTATTCCAATTTTATTAAATTTTTTGTTAATATAGTTCTAAATATATTGGGGTTCCTTTTGATATAATGACACAAGCATGTTATATTAATTCAGTACCTAGTACTTCTCCTTTCTGTTTCCTCCTCCCTCCCCCTGTTCCTTTCATTCTACTCTACTGGTCTTTTTTTCCTATTTATTTATAGTTGTTTTTTTTTTAAATAATGCATTATAAACATACATAGAAATGGAATTCACTGTGATATATTCATATATGTACATAGGATAGTTTGGGCAGTTTCATTCCACTGTTCTTCCCTTTCCCATGCTTCCTCCCTCCCCCTCAATCCCCTTCTTCTACTCCACTGTGTTCTCATCTATTTTTATGTGATTCTCCCTCCTCTTATTTTCCCCTTTGTTTTGCTCTAGCTTCCCCATATGAAATTACACATTCCACCCTTACTTATTTCACATAACATGACGTTCTCCAGTTCCATCCATTTACTGTCAATTTCACTCTTCTTCATGGTTGAGTAAAACTCCACCATGTTATGGACCACATTTTCTTTATCCATTCATCAATTGACAGGCACCTGGGCTTGATTCATAACTTGAATAACCCGAGAATTAAAATGGAAATAGTAATAATACTCTGGGTACTTTAATGAGAACCATTTTACAGTTACATTTCAAAAATCTGCTTTAAATGTATATACACATACACACATGCATATACACATAAAATTGGTATTACCTTGAAAATGTGAATGTAGCTCAGATTTGTGCTAAGAAGATATAGGTGTTAGGCAGGTTTTTAATACATAGCTATAAGATTCTTGTCCTTTTTCTTATTCCTGGGATTGTGACTGTGATAATCATTGCTTTTTTACTAAATCGTGTTACTTGGCTTTTAGCACAAATTCAATCAGAACCCCGCGAGAACTCAACGGGAACTCCAAAGGAGCCTGCACCTGAGGCAGCAGGATCCGCCCTAATCCTGGAGCCACCTAATCCCTGAGCAGGGTCACCTTTCAACCCAAAATGCTATGCGTCATTCCTACTTGGCTATGGCTCTCAGCACTCCACATTCATATTATTCCCAGTATAACTCTGTATTTTCTTCATAGACAGTTGATATGTACTTCTCCACCTCAAATATAAGCTAATGACTTGCTTTGACTAACAGAATGTGAGGCAAGAGATCATTTACCACTTCCAAATCTGGGTCTCAAGAATTTTTGAGTGGATCTGCTTATTGTTTATATTTCTGTTTCCACCATGTGAAAAAGCACAGAATTTCCTGCCAAAGGATGACAATCATATAGCACATGACCACATATTTGAAGCCATGCTACAACAGTCATTAACAGCTAAACACAGCTGCAAAAATTAATATAGTTAACTTCAGCTAAGTAGAGTCTGGTTCAGCAGAACCAGTAAGCTAAATAAATGTTTACCATTTTAACCATAAAAATCAAAGCTTGCCAATTCATAATAGCTAAGCTGTGGAACCGACCTAGGTGTCCTTCAAGAGATGAATGGATAAACAAAATGAGGTACATATACACAAAGGAATATTACTAAGCCATAAAGAAGAATAGACTCACAATAGGCTGTTGCGGTGGGGGGAGGGAGGAACACAGTTTCACCCAATTGGTCAGGGGGAATGTGGGAAGGGAAGGAGGATGAGAATAGGAGAGACAATAGAATATATATAATATAACTTCCCTATGTTCATATATGAATATATGACCAGTGTAACTCCACATCATGTACAACTACAAGAATGGGAAGTTATACTCCATATATATATGATATGTCAAAATACATTCTCCTGTCATGAATAACTAAAAAGAACAAAATAATTGAAAAACAATCAAAGTCTGCTAAATCTTGTTGACACTTCAGAGATGTCCCTTTATGAAGATTTTGTATAAGTCTCTCATTTCATATGAGGTTATTGCTCATAAAGCAATTAATTCTGGTAAATGTATTCTGTGAATAAACATACTTAATTTTTCTGACTCTGTTTTGTTTTAGTAGTACTGTGTATTTCCTTTATAATATAATTACTTATTAATATGATTAGTGAAGATTAGTGAAGAACTCATAGCATGCAACAGTCATTATGTATGCTTCATAAAGATAACTTTATAGAACACTTAAAATGATTTATGTATTTTATTAGTTCTACCTTACAAAAGAAGATCTGTAGATAGGTAACTATAAAAGTCAAGGTTAATATTCTAAAGTTACCTAAATAAACATTTTATTTTGCAACAATACTCTAATCTTTCAGTTAATTAAGTGACTCTTTTATCAAATACATTATCATGTTCCTATCCAAGGACTTATCAAACACTTATACCATGCTCAGATCAAATCCCAGTACACTCAATCAGGTAAATAAATGTAAGAAAAAAGCAAAAAGTTGGATTAACAATTCTAATTCCCTTATACTATCCTTCACATTCAAGTTACATTTCACATTGACATCTTCAGCTGTCTTGGAGAACATTCTGTATATTAGAGTCAACATCAGAAAACAGTATAACTGTTACATTTCATGTATTTTACTAGGATCTGTGGAGGCAGATATAAAGCAGATGATGATGTTATTTTCTTAAACTCTAGGCAAGTGAGAATTTTACTCTAAGCAAGAATGATTCAGAGATTATCAAGAGTGTCACTTTTAAGAATGTCATGGATTCCTGTGTGTTTAATATATAGGTCTCATAGAAAGAGGTCGTGTTTAAAAAAATATCAATGAGAAAAAACATCTTTGAGACATACAAGGAAATCTGCATTTGTCTTTATATGCCAGAAATAGCTGAGAGTAGAGAACCTGAGTGTCAGCAAAAGCCTTAGAAAAACTTCAATATATTATTTAATGGAAATATTAAAAATTGTAATTACTCAAATGTCTCTTGTAGATTTAATATTAAGGACTTTGTCTCCCTTACAATGTCTCCCACAAAATAAATAAATAAATAAGCAAATTAATTAATTATCACCACAGCTTTCATTAAAATTCAAAATTCCTAATTTAAAAACAAGTTGATTCAAAGTCAATAATGATGATGCTTAAGTAAGACCCATTTTTAAATGTATTTATTGAAATATCCCCTGAGAGAAACAGTTTAAAATTCTGAGAAATTTTAACACTGAATATAATATTTCTCCTCCTAGTTCACTAATTTTGCCTCTCATTACTTCGCTTTTCCTACTTTCTGATTCCAAAAAGAAAAACAAACAAACAAAAATATTCAAGGAGTTAAGCATTATGTCCAATAATATTTCAAAGAACAATAAAATGAGAGCGTATAGCTGTTAACACTTTGGAGACAGAAAAAAATTTAATTTAGATCCTGTTTCTAATACTCAGAAATGGTGAATATGTGAGAAACATCTTTTCGAGACTAATATTCCTCATCTATAAAAGTGAAACACTTGGTGAAAAGATGTAATATTTCCATATACACACTAAGTAATAAATATGAGACCCTGATGGTAGAAAACTGATTCTAAATTAAATAAATGGATCAGTGAAAATTCTTTCTTACCACATTCTAGCTGTAGTCCAACTCTAGAAGGGCACCACTTGGGACCTATTCAACAAAAATTAACAGGTAATTATCAAAAAAATAAATAAAGAAAACCAAACAGATTAAAAATCTAACAGCTTCCATTGAAGCACAGATTGCATCTTGGAAATTGAATAAAATGGTTACACTATGTGAAAAATGAAAATAGTAGCTACCTTTGACAGAGCGCTGACCAGCAGCGGTGGTGAGTGAGTAGAAAAAATTATGAGGAGAGCTTTCAGTTGGCAATTTTCTACTTTTTAATCTTGATACTGGTTCCATAGGTGTGCTTAGGTTACAGACATGTGCCAATATGTGTGGCCTAAGATTGATGCACTTTATGTAATAACAGAAGCCATCCAGAGCCAGGCTAAGGTGGTCCTTCTTCCTGCCACAGAACATGTAACCCACTGTACAAAAATTTAAGTCTAGAATGATTAGTGAGGAACAAAAGACAAAAAGTCAGAAAAGATAGTTTTAAAGGGAACTTGGAGCTTCTGACAGGTCCAGCCCATATAGAAGCAGGAGCTGAACAACTAGAAAATAGCTCCCATGGTTTATCTAAAGGGTACATCAAAGGCAGCAGTAAGGTTTCAGGGATGGAGTCTTGCTTCATGGTGTCTTGCAGTCAGCAGGTTTATTGGCATCTTGGCAGGTCACACCCATCTCTGAGAGGCTGTGTGGCTACAGCAGGTCACCCCCTCCCCTATGCTCTGTGGGACCAGGAAGAACTTGAATAGGGTCACATGTGTTTCGGTGGTCTTAGCCAGAGGAAATTTCCAGTGGAAGTTCCCAGACACCAGATTCTCCTATTCACTAGGCTGAGATGCCGATATAAACCACACACAGCCCATGGATGGCTCTTGACAATGTAAATTGTTATTCAATAAAGAACTTAAACATATTTATTTAGTCTTGGAGACCTTTGGTCTCATTTGAAATTTGTCTAATTTAGTACTTGAAAATGGGTTATTTTCTCTATAGGAGTAGGACTCTCTATCAGAATATGTATTAACAACTTCTAATATCATGATTGTATTGATCACCAAAGAAATATCATTTTAATATGTTATCTTTATTCCAACATTAAGAATAAATACAATAATGCTATCTGTACAGAATCATCAAAACAACTTTCTTATACACAGCCATTATGAAAAGTTGATTCACAATTAGTATTTGATTTTTTAATATAAATTCTATAACATTATTTTAAAATCTCTATTGAAAATTCACTTGACTTTGAGATCCAATGTTAAACAAATTTTTCCATTGTATAATAAATCAAAAAGAAGTATTTCTTCAAAGAAATGTTCCACAATTATAATCTTTACTTTCAAAACAATACCTTTTAAGTGTCAGCAAGAGTGATGATAATAGACTGTAAAAATCAATTCTCCCTGAATTTACATTTTATACATGGAAGTTGTCATGGAAAAGTAACCCATATGGCAAAAATTACAACCACAAGTTTTATGCTACTTAGAATTATTTCTAAACAAAATTTTGGAATAACATGACAAATAGTAAGGCATATTTAACTTTGTCATTTTATTGTTTAGAAAATATTTAGAAAAATACACTTTGTTTTGTTTTCTGTTTGGGTTTACTAATATAATGCTAATATTTGTTGTTTTGTAATATATATTAGTATCATTGGATCAAAAATATTTTAAAATAAATTTGTTACAGTTCAAATCTGCTGTTAAAGAAAATATGATACCAATTAATGCAACAAATAACAGTTTTAATTGAGTTTGTTAGCAAACTATGGGTATTGAACAAAAAGTAAACTTTTCAGATTTCATTTATATTTGACCAACACTAATTGAATACTTATAATGGGTATATACAAGTTGTCAAGTTTCATCTATTTTAATAATATCCAGTTTAAGACATCATTTTCCATATCATTCTATAACACTTTTATGGTGAAAATACCAAACAAAACTATCATTGTAGACAATTGAAACTGTCTATGAACTAGATGAATGGCTACGTGGGTTTCTTGTTGGGATGAGGTGGATTAGACTGAAGAAAGTGAAGGAGAAAAGATAATTTATAAAACATTAAAGACATATTACATAAGGGTTCTAGTATGACTGAATAGTTTAAAAGGTTATTTGTAGTGCTGTTTACATTGAAGTTGGACAACTGGCTCACAGATAAATGATAACTATACCAAGTACTTCCAATGATATGGCAGGTTCTTATATCATTGTAGGTATTGAACTAGATTTGTATAATTGCTACCATATTGTAACTTTAGAGTTCTTTTAATGATAATTGGAATATAATTGATCTTTAGTTATTAAATTAACTAAGTAATGAAATAAGTAATGTCTTGCTATAATTCACATATATTTATTTTAGTAAGGTTGCTATATCCAATAAGCCATTTATAGGCAATTAATATTTGTAAAAGGAAATGTAGTACCTACAGCATTGTATGTTTTTTAAAAGATAAAGAATGTGAAAAAATATATGTAGATGGATATATAATTAGAAATTTACATAAAAGAAATATTTATATTTTAGGATCATATCAGGAATAAAATAGAAAGTAAAAACAAGTATGTACACAAAGACTTAGAATCTGTGTCAGTGTCTTAATGACATTCACTGTATAAAAATGAACAAAGGATAACAGTTTATGAGCAAGTGCTGATGATAAATACTGGAGCCACCATGGTGCATCTCAATTTTAATGAATCCTTTATCTTACCAAAATAAATGTCATTAATAACATTTTAAATAAACATAGATAGGAGACTTTTAAAATTATACAAGAGATATTTTTAAAAAATCTCTTTAGTTATTAAATGAACTTCATTTAACCTAACTTCAAAAGTTGACCCAAAATAAGTGGATGTGTAACTGAAAACCAGATATGAGCCTGATAGCTGTCAAGGGCATTTCAAATGATACCCTGATTCATAATCATCTTGCAAGGTAAGGAAATTAGACCAAAGGATGAGCAAATTAAGGGTTGACCATGAGGTGAAACAAATAAAGTGATTTTCCAGAAAATAAATGGTAACAGCCTTCTTGTACTTAAATCTAATGAAAGGAGCTCCAATTTTACACCTACTTTTTGACTCAACATTTTAAAGGAAAGATAGCAGGCAAGAAAACATCAATAGAAAATGTCAAACATGATGACTGGGCTTGAAATGTGCCTTTTCATGTGATGATTCGAAGTATTCATATGATGTATCTAAAGAAGAAGGGATTTTCAAGAAAATCAAGATAATTTTTTAAAAGAAAAAAAAATGTTAAATGAAATAAAGATAGTCTTATTCAAAAGAATAGCATTAGGGTTATTTGTGAAGAAAGAAAGTTTTTGTGCAAGGTAAGAATTTCCTAAAAGATACAAATAGTTAACATTGGTTTTCTCTCATAGATATGTGTAATATATGTATTTAAAGGATAGCATAGCATATATTCCTACATTTGTTGGGAAAGTGAAATGAAGAACTCTTAAAATAGATATCACTTTAAAAAAACTCTTATTCCATATTATTTAAAAATAATACTGTGAAATTTTTTTTTCATTTTTTTAGTCAGTAGGACATTAATATGTTAGTGACAGAGTTTGTGTTTCTGAAAAAAGGAACTGTTTTCTCTCTCGTCTTCAAAAAAAAAAAAAAAACTAAAAAAGTTAAATGCAAACCAGCACCAATAAAACATGTATTATTTTGCTGACCTTAGAAACAAAAAGCATCTGCTAGAAAGTTTACTATTACAAACTGCTCAACTAAGAAAGACAAGGTGCCATAACACTGTATAATCAGCAATTGCAGAACAGGATTTCTGTGGAAGTATAAAGAAATTGGCTCTAAAAAATGCAAAATTTTAAAGCTTCATAAACAAATACTCATAATTATGAAATTACAAGGTGATGAAAAGAGGTATAAAACAAATTCATATCTCAGAACAATTCAAGGCACTGAATAAGAATTGTGTGGGAGGAAAAGAACATAGAGTGAAACTGAACCATTTATCTTCACTAAAGTTTATAGCCATTTTATTCATCTAATTACTCACTATCATCTAAGGAAATATCAAGACTGATTGCTATGCCTATATGCCATTTCTTTTGGACATCATCAGCTATTCAAGTCTCCCAGAGCATGCATTAGCCCAATGGCACTTTTCCTAATTTTATTTTGCACAACTGCACTGATCAGACCTGATTGTCCACTTCTCCAGGCCTTTTCATACTTTTTCAATGTACTTTAAACTACTCCTGGTCCAATATCTGTTATAAACTTCTAAATATCAAATTACACTCAATATTCTTTTCTGTAATATAAAAGTTCTTTTAATATTCTTCAACCAGTTTTTATTACTCATGAAAAACCCACTCAATTGTGTATTAGAACGTGTTTTAGGACTCTTCTTCCTATCAAATCTTGCCCCAAATATTTGCTTTCATTCTCCCTGTGGAATGCATATCACTAGAACTTGATGTCTAATATCATTCTTGTTGCTATCTCTTATGGTCTTTTACATCAAATGGTTGATGACTTAAGTTCAGAACATCCTCTTTGCCACTACTTATATATCAATGTTTGTGATTTCAGCATCTTTTTCAATTTCTGTCCTTTAGATCTAGATACTCAAATCCACTCTTTGATCTGCCATTCTTTCCCAGAGTCTTACACTAACAAGTCCAACCATTCCAAATATAAATTTTGAACATCTTTCTCCTCATTATTACCATCCTTCCTTCCTGTTTACTTAGGCTGATATTTTTGTCTCAAATATTCTTCAATTATTCAAGGAATGTCCAGAAATCATTTTCACTATGAAAAACTTTTCAGTTCTTCAAAATTTCACACTATTCAAGGTTAAATTCTAGAATTGTTACCTAAAATCACACCCTGACAAAAAGGGTTTTCTACTTTGCCTTACTTTCCTTCTGTCTTACTAATTGGCAACCCTGACTCTGGTTAAGCTCAACTGTTCCATCTCTGAATTAATGAACAACTTCCACATGAAAGGCATTTCCCTGACACTAC